TTGCAGTTAAATGAGCAAAGCATGTCGGCGTTGACTTTTAGGTCTTTTGGTAGCAATAACATTGCGTTCAGGGGATTGCTGCAAACGCTCTGACATCCCACAGCGGAGCCTGTAAACTGTTACGGAGGACAGACTGAGCAACAATATGACTGCTTTCTTTTTTTTCCCTTTTCGTCCACATAAGTTGTGCTGTCCTGGAGAGTTTGTTACAAGCTGATCAAGTGATTGCTTGTTTTTCTCGTCTTGTTTTTAGCCACTGATACACCTTTTAAATACTGATGAATACATGAATAAGAAGCTACTGGTAACAAACTGTATGATTTGCCCGGTTATAATTAATTCCAATGTAGGTATATTTATATATATATATATAAGAATAGCCTAATTTTTTAAGAATTTATTTTATTTAAGAATACTGAAAGGAGTATTTTATTGTGTAAAGCTGTAAGATCTCTAAACCTTTGAAAGCACAAAAGGAAAATCCCCTGCTTTGGGTTGTTTCCTGGTATTAGATAAGATTGTTCTCTATCTTGTTCGACTGAAGCACTATTTGTACTATGTTGATTATTCTGTGGTACTTGAGTTGAAGGATGTTTTCCTCACAAGGCCAAATACAGGGAGGGAATTTGTAGGAATTTGGCTTTGATACCCAATAATAGGCACTCACACACCAACTGCAACGTTTATCATTTTAAATCGGTTTGCCTATTATAATGTCACTCTCCTCGTCCATGTGGGCCACAAACTATGCAACAGTTCTGGACGTGTCGGGTGCAGCGAGTCAGTTTCAGCTTGAACCGCTGTCTTTTCTGAATAAACTTACAACAGGATTTGCTTCGTTTCTGCGTTATTTGTAGGCAAGAAAGTTCGGCTTTATTCCTTCAGGGGGGAAATCAAGGGGCCTCAGGCACTCTTCTACTTCAAGTTCGTAAGTAATGTAACAAAAGTAAAGTAAGTCCATGTTGACCTGTTTTCATCCTGTGTGTACGTCCCGTGTCAGTTTGTCCAAACCTCGTCTCTCGGCTTACTTTCTTACTCCATCGATGACCGTCTCATACGAAATGAAGTGGTAAATCGCTGTCTGACCCAGTTCAACAGTTTTTGACGAGGTGGGAGTGAGAATGTGTTGGTGGGCCGAGGGGTTCAAAGCCCATCGGCCTGGAGCTTGGCAGAGGTGCACCGCCTTGCTCAAAGACACTTCAGCAGGGCAGTTAACAAAGGAACGATACCTGCACCGGAGACTCTGAAATCTTTAGCCAACCAATGGCGATCTCACATAAGGAATTTAATACCACAATCCGGGATCCGTTATTAACATTAGGATATAAGCATAAACAACAGCACCGAATGGAACCATCATACAAGTGTAGTCACGCACTCTCTACGCTCATCTCGTATCTGTCACGGCCCCTGATGATTGATGAAAGTGAAGCCTCTCAGATGGGAGCTTGTGTTTTTTCTGGTGTTTTGAGTGAAAGGTGACACCTCTCCTCTCCGCGGTGCCCTCTGTGGGAATTTAGGAGACGGAGACTGGGAGAGAGGGAGAGAGACAGATGGGTTTTTCGCTGCAGGATATCCTGTTCTAAGTAGCGCTGCTGGGCCCGCCTCGACCTCCTCACCCCTCTTGACCTCCGACCCGCTCATAGCTTAGGCTCACATCTGTGACGTTCCCTAATCGCCCACATCGCTCCGTATTCTTTCCCAATCGTGCCGCAGCACCTTTTGCTTTCTCTGCTTCCCGACTCCTCGTTCATACTCGCAGGTGTCACTTACATTTTCCCTCCTTCCTCTTCCTCTTGGTTTCTTTGTGGTCTGCAGACACTCAATCCTCCTATCCGTCCCATATTCTTTAAATTATTTTCCATAAGTTAAGGCCAGTCAAGGCACAGCAACAGAACACAGTCAATGAATATACTGTTTATGCTTTATTTAGTCATAAAGTTCCACTTCTTCTTAAAACGAATTAAAATCTATACTACCAAATCAAACTGTCCTGTTATCTTGATAACCTCTTATTTGTATTCCTTAATTTGTTTTGATTCTAGTATTTATTTAAATAATGGTGTGTTGAGTGATGAAGTTTTTTCACTTTTGTGTTCCTGTGAGTCGTTACTTTCCTTTTACACCTGTCACTTATACGTTTGATAAGTTTAATCATAGAAAAATATTATAACACAGGAACATTGTTTTTACTGTGTGTACTGCGTTGTTTAAAACAGGTTTATAGTGTAACTTTATTTATTTATTTTTTATTTAAGTTTATTTAATTTAATAATTTAATATTTCTATCTCATTATATTGTATATAATGTGTATCTTTTTATTCTATTTTCTTCCCTGTACATGCTGCTGTGCTACCAAAATTTCCCTTTTGAGGGATCAATAAAGTATCTATCTATCTATCTAACTTGCAGTGTCGGCCTCATTGGTCATGATTCTCTGCTGGAAACATTTTATCATACAGCTTCTTTTAGCTTAAGTATCACTCGTAGAAATGAGCATTTTAGATTGTTTATTGAGCATCTCGGCCTGTTTTCTTGTTGCAGACGTCTCTTTGACCAAACAAGAAGTGTGTCATGTTTTGAAAACTGTCCTTGTTCCTCTCTTTAACGTTCCCGCTTTACTAAATCCCTCAATTATTTCCCCTCCAACACAAGTTTACTTGTTTCCCAGATCACGGTGCACTTCACGTGTGTCACAAACTGAGAAAGAATACTGTCATGGAACAAGTGGAGCTAAAATTCGGTTGATGAGTCTGTTATTTGTTGCCAAGATCTTCTTGATTGCTGTGGGGAATTTTTTTCTCTTTGCTATTTGTGAGTTCTGTCATGTCTTGCCTTTTCTCAGCGAAGCGATGAGCCCTCTTTTGTTCGTACCAACTTGAAAGACAAACATAAGGAGCCACTGTGATTAAAGAAATCCTTAATTTAGGTCGATACAGGAGAAAGGCTCTCTTGCTTATACAAGAGAAAAACCAAACCATCAGCTAGCATTTCCTGCCCTCGGTCGCCCTGTTCTTTGCCATCCCCCACTTTCTCTTCAAATGTCACCCTCCCCCGGTGCCCCGCTCTCTCCCTCTCTCACCCGGCCCTCCCACCCCTCGGTAGAACTGGAATCCATTAGCTGATGAATGGTTGTTTGTGTTTTCTTAAGCTCAACAGCGCCACCCACGGCCTCCGCGGCCCGAGAGGACGATAACAAAACATTTGCTGTGATTAGAGGAATAATTAGCCAATCATCCTCTGACCTGCGAGCCAATCCGGGGGGTCAAAGAGACACAGAGTGGCTTCTGCTCCCCAGGTGGTTTCCCATGAAGACCATCGGGCTGCACAGATATAGTGGAGTCATTGTCTGCAGACAGGTGACACACACACACACACACACACACAGAGCATGTTCCTCTCTGTGTCTGTGTGTCACTGCATGAACGGGAGTGTGCGCTGCTCACGTTTGTGTCTGCGTGCGTCCGTGCGACGAGGATCCCGAGCGTACCGGGTACAGGATTGGGCCCCGAGAGGCTGCGGCGGAAATCAGCACTTCCTGCTTCCTGACGCAAGAGGAAGTGCTACCGTCGCTGTCCCCTTATCGCTGGATACACAGGCAGCGCGGAGGGAGGAAGGTAGGGAGGGAAGAGGAAGAGGAGAAGCAGGATCAGACTGGTCGAGCTACACAAAAGGGAGAGGAAGATAGGCCACCAGTTGTTTGACTTTTTAGTTCATTGCAATAAAATGCTTAGTGCATGAAGAGGAAAGCATGTTCAAATCAATTGCTTCTTGTAACATAGTTTGTTATGAAAACAATTATTTCTCTTGTGATCCGGTGAGACTGTTACAGGTATATAGATGTATTTGCACTAGACAGACATGTACATAGTGGACGTGAATGTGGGTGAAACAGAGTGTGTGTAAAAAGGACACAACAAGTGGGAATCGCAACAAAAAGATAACCACTTGCACCTTAATCGGAAGGAGAAAGAGAGACAACAAATAAGCCACCAGGGAGGAGGTGGTGGGGGGAGGAGGGGAGGGGGGGGGGGGGGGGGGGTCTTTAGGGATCAGGGCGGGGAAGCTTTCAGCACTTGGGGTTGTCCCAGATGGACACAAGCCGCTCCCTGCCTCTATAAACAGCCTCCGGCTTCTAACTCTCTCCTCTCCGTCGATCGGTCCTTCTTTCCTTTAGTGGCTGTTGTAAACCACTCTGCACAAGATTGGAACAAATTGACACTTTCTGATTTGCCCTTTTTTCTTGTTTCAATTGTATCCCCCCCCCCTCCATCTCCTAGCAACAACACCCCCCCCCCTCCCCTCACCCCCAATCCCTGCCGTTTCTAAAGTCAACACGCCACTAAATGCCGGGCTGACTCACTTCCACTGTGGGTGGTTCTGTTTCCAATTTTCTAACCACCTCAGCCGATCCACCACCTCTGAGGAAAAGAGAAAACTTTTTATGAAAAAATACAGAAAAACCTAAACCGCCCCCCAAAAAAATCAATAGCAGCCGACCAGACACGCAAAACAAAGGGAACATTTTCTCAAGTTTCTTAAGCGTAAAAGGGGCAACGGAGTGCACGAGAGATGGGGGGGGAGGACATGCGTAATGAAACCGATCATCCCACGTCTTTTGTGGCTGCCAAGTGGTCATCCCGGTTTTCCTTCCTTTCTTCCTCCTGGGGAGAGCGTGGGAGCGCCCTCAGAACCACGGGGCTCATAACAACAGGAGGAAGCCGGTAACGTGAGTAACTTCAGGCCGGGCACAGGGAGGAGGGGGGAGGACGAGAGGACACCTTTACGTGTCTCCATGTCTCGAAGACGTGAAATTGGAGCTAATGCAGATCCAGAAAAGGAAAACAGGTTTACAGATGACTTGTTGCATTCCAGGCAGCATTTCCCACATGCACACACACGCAAAGTGTCATTCTCGACGGCCCTCACACACACACACACACACACACACACACACACACACACTCATATATCTGCAAACCCAAAAGCCAACTCTTACCAGTCTGCAGTGTGAACATTCAGCATGAGCAGCGCGTTAGAAAGTCCCGTCAGTCATGTTCACGTACAGTCCAGTCCAGAGAGATCGAGGGTTGTGAGGACGCCCAAAACTACACGTGCACACATACACAAACACACACACACACACAAGAAGCAAGCACACACACACACCGGCACAGTATCAGTTCCTTCTGTCCAAGTGTTGAGAAAATGAGGGGCCGTAGCAAAAGGCAACGGAGGGAGAGAGAGGAGGAGAGAGAGAGAGAGAGAGATAAACCCCTCTGAATCAACTAGTGGACTCTCTCTCTCTCTCTCTCTCTCTCTCTCTCTCTCTCTCTCTCTCTCTCTCTCTCTCTCCCTCCGTCCCTCCCTCACAAACACAACACACACCCTCACACACAGTTGCTCCGCCGTATCACTGACTTCTTGTGTTTTTCTCTCAAGTGCCAAGAGGATGAAGGGAGAGCAGAAGGAAAACCGGAGCGTGTGTGTGCATTCACGGGCGGGGATGTGTGTATGGCGTGTGTGTTTTGAAGCAGGAGGGTACGACTGGCTTCAGTCCAGACGCTGCCTGGTAGAAAAAAAAAAAAGACAATAGCAGGAAACACTATATCAGGAGGAGGCAAAATACCAGCGCAGAAATAATGAACCGAGAGTGAAAACAATGACATCCACCGTGGAAAACATGGCCCGGGCCGAACAATGATACTGGAAACAAGGAGCAGAACAGCCTTTTTTTATGTTGACATTCCCATAGGATATAAAAAACCCTAATCCAAAAATATCCGAGGGGTTAGTAGCAATGAAAATCAGAAATGTTGCCGTTATTTTTGTACTTTTACTTGTACATTTTCTTGGCATTCACTACAATTTTTTGCAAAACATCTCCCGCTTGAACCCAAGCGCGTAGAGTCAACGCACATTCCCTGTACAATCGGGCAGCCATGACTCCCACACAAATCTCACCCACACACGCACACACTGCCCCTGCTGCAATCATATCCAGTGATAAGGGCAGCTTCCCCCAGCGGTCGCTGGCTCTCCGACCACAGTGGCTTACAATGGCCCTGTATTCTGAGCCTGCTCTGATTACTCACACAAGGAGCTGCATTACACCCTGCTAATTCAATTTCCTCCCCTCCGGGTCACACGGGTGTGCGTGTGTGTGCCTGTGTGTACGTGTGCAACGCGTAAGCGCATAAAGAGGAACTCATTAAGCAGTTGTTCAAGAGAAAATGCTGCTTGGACAAATATGGGCCGTAATAGATGGATAAAAATCGATTTGTGGGGGCTTAATGTGATTGATGGTCGATAGAGCCGTTGTTTGTTCAGTTCTTGCCAAGCTGGTAGTTAAACTTGTGTCATGAGCGGGTATGACGGGTGCGACAACACGCTGCTGCAAAGTATTCCTGGTTTATTGGAGAGATGTAAGACTTTCGCTCAATACTAAAGAATCAAATCAAATCTTAATTACATGGCCGCTGGATACAATCAGCTTCCCTGCTTTTCTCTAGAAACAGACAGTATGTATCATGCAACATGATGTTTAGGGTAATAATGTTCTGTTTACCGATTTGGCTCTAAAGCAGACTGATGAGAATGTCATCACTTTAGTCACGTCGTCATTGGCCAAAGCGTTGGACAAATGCAATAGCTGATTTGATGACTCGATAAGCCTGTACATTTTATATGTAGATAAGAGGTGGACGTTGTCACTGTGACGTCAGACATTGGATTGAACATTGTGCCTTTGAGTTTGGCATTTTGTTTTTTGCAAACAAAGTGGCACAGAAGGTTGAGAAAAGTACAAGTGAATGACCAGCAAAACATTTAAAGCCAACCAAAAATGTTGTGATAAATGAGTAAAAATGAGACAAAACAGACAACGGTGTGTTACCAACATGCCAATTACAAGGTAGCCCCTCCCTAAAGCATAACCTCGGTCTTATATTCTTCGAGGTAGACCACTATTTACTAAATGAACATAATGCTGTCTTGAAGAGCACTTGAAACTCAAGATTAGAACGAATAAAGTGAGACTTCGTACAATCAGACTCCTTGCATCTACAGTCGTCGCCCCCTGCTGGTCGTTTGAAAGAATGCAAGTTGTGATGCAAGTTGAGCGGCTTGCTAACTTTCAACTGGTCTCAATTCAAGCTCATGTTCATCCATTCAATAACTGTTAAGGCATTCCAGTCCAGACCAATTTGTTGGACCGACTGACTGACACCAATAACTTCAGCGCAAGGCAATGCATGTCATTGTCAGTTAAACTTAATCATACCTTATTTTGGGGAAATAACTGATGATGACAGTTATTTTTCTTGAGAGGACAACCTCCCAAGAACTACATTCAAAGGTCGGGGGTGGCAGCGTCCAGAGAAACGTAACAATCCGCCTGGTAATAGCAGAGTGTGAAGATCAGGCGCTAACAAATCATAAACATGGACACGAAACCATGTTGAGACGAACAACCAAGTGCAAAATGTTGAAATACTATTCAGCTGCACATACTGAAGCACCGTTGATCAAACACTGGCCATGCACCGTTGGGTGCATGGCCAAAGATTCATTGTTGTTTCCAAAAGAGTTTAAAAGTGTATAAATATAACTACAACAGCACTGTGATACAATGTATGTTGTGTTCTTTTACTTGAATGAGAAAACTCTGAGAATGTTTTGGTTTGCAGTTGGAGATTATGACTGATCACTTTGAGCTTTCACTGTTATGCAAGCTCTCTTGTAGTTGTAGGTTAGTTAAGTATGGCAAGTATTGAATAGCCACACGAGCTGGCAATGAAAACCATCCAGCAGTGTTTTCCTCTTAATGTAAACTTTTACAGTCCAGTTGTAAATGACTAAACACTAATGAAACATGCTCTTTTCCCCCTCTCACTGCGGAAGTTTCTCTCGCAGCCTCCAGCGAAAGTAATGTGTAATGATTCCAAATCACTAAAATCAGGGTGGAGATGCAGAAATTCGAGCATATGATGAGAATTAGTTGCGAGTCTGACTTACTCATGTTCCCCGCCCAGGTTTCTTAAACGCAGGGTACAGAAAAGACCCCAAATAGGTTACAGACCATCTTCTGGCACGTGCACAAGCTAGCAATATGAAAGCCCAGGTCCCACAGTAACACACTAAGTTCTCATTTAGGTCCTGGGAATAACTTATTTTAATAAAAGTCTCTAATTTGGAGAAAGAGGTCAGATCTGCAGGCTTTTGCACTGGTTCAGTGTAACGCAGCTGGCTCGCCGCACATTGTTTATCAGACTCCCTCAACACATCTGACTCTCATTCTGGACAAATAAAACAATGCCGTGCGACACTGTCAAATGCATGGCAAACATAGGGCGTGTGTGTCCACATGTGCGTGTGTTACAAAAAGACAAAGAAAGTGTGTGCGTGTGTGCAAATGCAGGGAATGTGTTTATGATTAAACTGACTGAATGCAAGGGCGAGGTCCCTTTGGAGGGCCGGGTAGCTACATATCTGCACACACACTCACACACATACACGCACACACACAAACTCATACATAGTGTCAATAGATATTTCTGCTTTTGCGTGCAACTTCACAATTAGATCAAACTAGCAAGCCTGATCTGACTGCTATGCAACCTCAATAAACCCCCAAAACACACACACACACAAATAAACCGTCACACACCTTCTGTGTCATCCTCACTTACTAAACTCCTGCTCACCCTTGCTGTCTCTTACTCACACACGCGTGTGGAAAGATGTCTCCAGATGTGGGTGTGATGCTTGTACACTGTGATTAGTGAGTGCGAAGGCGAGTGAGGGATTTAGTCCTCTTACTTGTGCGTTTCCACCTCCCCTCCTTTGTTGTGGTTACCAGCTTTGTCTGCTTAGCGTCACTTATCAGTGCCGCTGCACACAAGAAACACAAGAAGGAGGCCTGAGCATTCAGAACAATGAGATGTCAATCGCGGGAATTCACCACGCACGTCATAGCAGACACGAGGCTCCGCCCACACCACAGGACCTTATCGTCATGTTGCCTTGTCATATTTGACAAGACAACATTTTGTTTTGTCATGAGCAGACATGCATGCAAACATTTCCAATACACATTAAAAAAACACTTTTGAGCAGAACTTTATTCTCTCATTGAAGAAAACAAAATCATGGAGGTTGAATAATGTCTGTGACCTCCAACTTTACTGGAGCTGATGGCATGAAGCGGTTGGGATGAGGATCAGCACCTCTAAATCTCACGGCCTCGGCTCTCAACAGGAAACCAATGGATTGTCTATTCCAGGTAGGGAATGTGTCCTTAACCTAAGTGAAGGAGTTGGGAAACGTCCTGGCTAAATGTCGGGAGATTGTTGGCACTTCAAACGCAGCCGTTAAATGACGGAGAGTTGGAGTGCACGAGGACAGAGTCGCTGCTTCAACAAGTTCCACCCGGTGGAATTCTGCCTTTCTAAAACACACACTTTCTAAAGTGATTTCTTGTTAGACTAAATCTTTTAAATTAACTTTTAATCGCGATTAATCAAGATCAATGAATTAGAAAATGTGAGATGAATGAGTTCATTTCTTTTAGTCTATTGACAGCCCTAAAAATAATGTTTACTTGCCTGGTAACTAAGCAAGCAAAATTCAAACAAACTGCTGTGGTTTTGGTTAGTGTTAAGATTAGGAAAACTAAACTAGGGAAGATTAACAGGAGGAGGAAGGAGAATATGAGATGGGGTCCGGAGCCCTGATCCCGGCAGCTGCTGCTGTTTTGTGGGTCAGCGTTACATCAGTAGGTTTATGGAAAAGACTGAGAATCACTTCTCCACTTGACCTACTTAAAGAATGTTAGTGTTAGACGACATGCAACACTCCCCGGCTTCCCAGCACTCACTCACTGACAACCCGACTCTTCATTAGCAGTTGTTGAAAGACTGTATAATTAAGGAAGCTGGATCTCAAACCATGTTGGCTCTGAGAATTTTTGTGGGCGAATTGTTTGGAGTTTTATTCACCAGTTTCAAATGATCATGTTTTTAAATAAAGTTCACGCGTCAAGCTTTTGGTGTTGCATCAGAACCGCATAGTGTTGTTAGTAAAGATTGAAATGTCAAGGATGTGATCATTCATCAAGATAAACATTTCACAATCTTATCTGTCGTCATCAAGAAAGTGCTTGCACAAAAACTCTCACGCCGCACAAACACCCCCAGGTGTTAGTGTTTGGTTTGTCAATATCTCGGTTGATTAAACATGCCAGCTGTATTTTAAGGAAGAATTATGGTCTGAACTT